GGGCACAGGGCGGGGATGCGGGAAAACAGCCAAAAAAAGGGTTTGTAGGTAAATGGAGAGTTCTAGGCGAAGCTGGAACAGAAATTATCTGAAAGTAGGTTTAAACAAAAAATAGGCAAGTGTGATGCTGTGGAAGAGTGCAGTGATTAAACAAACAGGAACATTAAAAGTACATAAAAAAAAAAAAAAAATCCAGACTGCTCTGCAGCTTGCTTCGTTGTTTCTACGCGCTGATAAAAACTCTTTTGCGTTGAGAGAAGCTGCAATCTGCAAAGAGAAAAATTAAAACTTAGAGACTTTTCAAACAACTGTTTTCAACGGATGTTTGCAGCACCAGCCCTGGAGCCAAGCTTTGGAGAGGAACTGCCCTCCAGTGCTTTAAGTTCTTACACAGTTAATTTTCTTTGAAACTATTTTTGTCTGCCTCTCTCTAAATAGGTGGTTTCTTAAGTGAGTGTTACTTAAAGGAAACCAATCTGTTTTTCAGGAAGGGCTGATGATGTCAGTCCTTTCAACTCTGCTTTCCCATAAGAATTCTTCTAGTAAAAGGAGTTTCACTCTGGGAAATAGCGAAAAGTAACGTGAAAATATTTAAAGCATCTCAGACTGTGTGTTTATCAAACTTCTAGCTTTATGCTTGGATTTTAATCGTGTTGCGATTGTAACAAATGAAGGAAAAGTGAGGGAAAACCTTTTTGATTCTTAGGATTAAAAAAAGAAAAATGAAATTATCAATGAAAAATGTGCTATACTAAAATACTTATAAAGAGCTAAGCACAAGTCTGAATGCAGTATATACAGAACATCAAATTTTTCATAATTCTGAATTTATGTACTCCATTTCAGCGTAAATATTAAATGTGAAACAGAACCACTGTGTATTATGAATGGTCTTTTGGCAAAACTACATCATCCAAAAAAAAAAAATTTTATCCCCAACAAAAAGACAAGAGAAATTCAGAGAGTATCACATCATTATTATTGAATGTCTTTAGTAGGTGTAGATGTTTAGCAGAAGGTCCAACATGTGCTTAACACTATATTAATGTTTGTTCTGACACTGGGAATTCCTGCAGTCAGCGGCAGCAGAAACCTCCAAGTAGAGCTAGAGAGACTTTTACTGGTGGTGCAAGAAGTAGCAATAATAAAATACTTTAAACTTTAATTTGCAGAATAAAAATAAGAAGTTCTACAGAGCTTTTGATCTTCCAAGTAAAGCATTCCATTTTTACAGCTGAATACTCCTCGCTGTTCACAGAAAGGTGCCTGGAAGATAACAGGGGACACATTTGTACAATCCTGCACATAGTTTTACCTACTCATCTGTCAAAGCTCACAGCGTACCTGTGAGACAGGTGAGTACCAGAACCCCCATTTTATACAAGTTAAAAGGTCATATAAGGCCATATTCTACCCCAATGCTCAGCCTCACAACCGACTGATGTTGTAATAGTCTTATAATAGTAAAAGCCCATAAAAGGATCCCACCCTAACTCAGATATTACTGACAACCACTCTGGCAATCCAACGGAATGACGAAAATATAACCCCCTGGATTAACAGGCACAATAACCCAAACAAAATCTGAGTTAGCTATAAAAGGTGCAAAGGAAGTATCCCTTTATCATCCTTTATTTAAGAGTTTACTTCATTCTCCTAAAAAGAACAAAGCCAAACTATGATTCATTTGGAAATGAAATGATCCCCACCCCCAGTAAAGGCTTACATTGTGTGAGTAAACAGTTTGTAGGGTACTCTGAACAAAATGTAAATAGATTGCCTTGCTACTATATACACAGCAAACAGTTTCGTTTTGAAACTAGGAGCTAAAAAACAAGTGAGAAAAATATTACAAAGCCTGAACTCTGAAAATATTTACAGGAACAGAAGCTAATCGCAAGTTAACATCAATAGGTTACGATTGCTAACAAAAAAGAAGATAAAAAGCAAGTGCTTGGCTCACCAAAGTCCAGTCTTTTGGTCTAAGGTTGTTGCAATGCTATCGTAGTGTGAAAGAAGTATTAGCAGAAGGTTTAACAGCACTTTTTCTAACTTAGGGCTTATCGAAACTTCTTCTAGATTGCAAAGGACATAAAAGGAAAATCCCGATGACACGACTCCACACTAAAAAATCCCCCAAACTAAAACCAGTTTACCACAGTCTGCTCTGAGTCTGTCGCTCAGCAACTTGTCCCAGTGCAAAGGTGCTCTCCGGGACACCATCGCCAGGTTTATTTCTGTTACAATCAGCTGCATTTAGAGGGATGATTAAGGAAAGTTAACAGTTAGTTATTCTTCCTGAAGAAAACTACAAACTCTAAGTAATTCCACACACAGGAAACAGAGATTCTTCTTCTCGTTACACAGTAGAAAGCTGATGGACAAAACCAGCCGAATAGGTTACCAAGGGTCCCGGAGCGAGTTACAAGTGAAGAATTAAGCCCAGAACTGCTCTTTTCTGTTCTGAGGACCGAGTCCTGTCACCAGGCTGCTGTAACTCCTCCAAACAACAATCATTTAACGTCATAATATGATAAGGAGCTGTTACAATCTGAGTAAACACATCCTAGTTCACAAATTAAAATAACCAGCAGTCTCTGGCTGCCCCAGCTGCCACAGACACACACTGAATCCCTCCACTGACACTCACTGCGAACTTCAGGGGCTTTTTCCCCAAGTTGACAATAAATGGCTTTTTATAAAAGGCATTATAATACGATTCAATATCCTGCCCACCTTCAGCCAGGTGAACTGAAAGACTACTGAAATGAAAAAGTTGCAATAGTATTAACTAAAAACATCACAATGTTTTACCAAATCGATTATTTAAAACCCAAACTATTTTATCTTTTTTTTCTAAGATTTTTTTGTTAAGACAACTCCGCTACCTCCTCCATACAATCCCCACAGAAAACTTTCATATGAAGGTTTGCCAGTCACCAACACACAGTCTTAGTATGTGTCCAACTTCAAGCCCTTCTGCACTGCGAGAGAGGGATGAGCACAATCCGTGTGAAGTTTTCTCCGGGACACAGTTACCTTCCTGCCCTAATGCTTAGTGCCCATGGGCAGCCTTCAAATGGAGCTAACTGTTCAAACAGAGATGATTTCCAAGCAATGATGACTGCTGAAAGATCTTGAAAAAAAATCTGATTTATTATATTTCAAGACAGACATTTGAAAACCAAAGCCTTGAAACGCTTGAGATACTTCTCTCAGTAACACGTCTTTCTCCTGTCTGGAAATTCTGTCCACCACTGAGGATCCTAGAGCAACGAAACTGCTGTCTCTTCTTTAAAAACAAAAAAGTCAAATCTATTCAAAACTCCAGATGTGCCTAAGAGTACAGTAAAGGCAACAACTCACTGCAGTTTCCCTTGACAGAAAACAGAATTGGATGGATGAAAGCTACACGAATGGGCAGTTCCATCCTCTCCTCTATCGCGATGTCAACAGCCAAAAGGGATCGGATGTGCCATAGCAAACCCTTCCAGCACTCCCCAGCCTGTTTCCATCCTGCTGTACAAGAGAGAGTAAAATGGCAGATCTACAAACGTCTCCAAAGAGGAGGAAACTACAGACCACGTTTTGGGTGCCTTCCAGTGGCTCCAGGCAGAGGAGCACGGCTCCAGAACAGCTACGCAGAGAACTGTGTTTAGAAAAGTCCAAAGAAAGGCGAAAATACAGAGGCTTCTTCTGAGACAACTCTGGTTCCCTTAATAACCAACAAATCATAAAAATGTTCCTTTGATTCAGAAATCCCACAAAGGTTCTCTCTATAGCAGCAAAGATGTTGACTGTGACAGCACACAGTTGGGCTTTCACCAGCACTGCTCATCCTACTCGTCATTAGGGAAGAGGGACTGTTCCTTGCCATTTTTAGTACTCTTAGACCGAAAAAGGGTGGCTACCCGTACCAGACTGCTATTTAAACTGTCACTTCAATGGAAGCTGTGACTTACTCTTAATAGGAAGGAGGGGTAAGGATGCAGCAACTTCTGAATCCAGACAAAGCAGCTTCTAGTACAGACCTCATGAAAGAGAAGGGCAAAAAGAACAGCAAAGACAAAACTACAGAAGCCAGGACAATGATGATTTGTGAACCTCTTTTAGAGGCTCCCCTTCATGTCCTTTTAGTTTCTCCAAAGCATGCCCATCGCAGGAGCAGGATGTACAGATGGATTGTTACAGATTTTTTTTTCCTTTGTACATTATTTGTCACATTGCTCACACACACAAAAAGTGGACAAAAAATCTACGCCATCAACTCCACATCGCCTAGTCTCCGCGTTTCTCCTCAAGCAGTATTTATTGTGGATATCCAAATGGGCTTCATGCTCATCAAGGCCAGTGAGCAATGAGAATTTTAGGTAACTGCATTTGGATATAGACCAGATCACTGACCTTGTCTAGATGGAAACAAACCCTGAAACCTAAGGGCCAAAAACTTTCAGTTTAAAGTGGAAATTATTGACACATCTGTGATAGCAGAGTTTACTTAAGCAAGTTGCAAAACCAGAACCATCTTTCTGAAGTATTTATACCCTTGCTCATCCCTATAAGCTCTGTGTACGTTATGTATTTTTGCACACCTGCAGCACTGTATTTTAGGAAACTCATTCTTTAGTGGCACAGACTACACCAGCAAGTAGAATGAACCAAACCAGTTCTTGCAATCTCCAGTAAAAACAGCATTTCTGCTATTCAGGCTGTTAGTAAATACTACTGAAATGTGAAGCTGGAAGACTATGAAGAACTTTAGGTCAGCATCTCCAAAGGTATTTAGGAACCAAACCTTTTTGAGTCAGGCAGCTACGCAGCAGGTACTGAAACGTCTCAGAGGACATGGGCATTAATGACTCAAGGGGAAAGGTTTCTTGACAATGCAACGGGGAGGAAAATATTCAAAAAAAGGGATTTACCATGGAGCGGTGAGCCAGACGGGCTGCTTGACAGGCCTGGAACAGGGCTACAGCGTCCACCTTGCTTAGATGTCAGCTCTTGCTCGATCTCTTCCAACCCTGCGCTCTTCTGGAATCGGCTCATGCGATTTACCACCCGGGGCGACATGTGTGTTCGGACACAGGGCTGGCCGCCGTAGGGATTGATGGGAAAAACATGGGAAGTGCCACGAAGCGTGCTGACCACAACCCAGCGACAGTCGTGGCTGAAGGAGATGTCCTGTACCTAGAGAACAGAGGAGTGAAATGGGAACTTAGTCACCAACGTACACGTATCCAACAAAGGAAACAGACTATCATGTTTTAAACAAAGACAAATCTTAATTGGAAATGGGAATTAAATTTCTCAAGTTTAGGCAATAAGTTTAATTTTTGTGTGTATACCAATTAACTTAGTATTCAGGATGTATTCAGTATATATTATAAATATAAGCACAAGCTGCAGTTTAACATCCAGTTACAAAGTTTGTGCACTTTTCAAAATATTCTGAGATTTTTCCTTTCAACAGGCCTGAACTTCAGAAAACAAACCATGCTGCAAAGTACTCCAGAAAGCCACAAGAGCTTGGTGTAATTTTCAAATAGAATTCAGTTCTAAAAAGAGTTGGGAAATCATTTCAATTACATGTTTTGTTATTTGCTTGTTTACTTTAATTTTTAGAGATTACCCAAAAAGGGGAAAAGGGAGGGATGAGAACAAGAGAGAGATCTCACCACTGGGCCCAATTTTGACAAATACTGGCACTCAAAACTGTATTTAAAGTCAACAGAAATTCCACGTCCTACATATCACATAACTTAACAACCCCAAAAATCAACGGCCAGTATTTTCAAAAGCTGTCTGTAATGGTCTCTAATGCTGCTCCTATCAGTTTACCCCCCAGTGGAACTACCACTCGTCCAGGTATCCCTGGACCTATGCTCTTCTTTGGTTTTAAAATTTTGTCAAGAAGAAACTGAACAACTTTGGCCATTTTTCTCTACAAAACCACTCCATTTTACACCTAACAATCTTTATTAGTCAGCTATGGAAGTCCCAGGAAGGACCCCAGTTATTTTTCCTTCTTACGCATACCAGTACTTATCCTCCACTTAAAACATGCAAGTCTTATTTCAGTTTAAAATGGTCAGTCTTGAAGCAAATATAAAAACACACAGTTAAATATTTTTTACTATAGTGACTCCTTGCATAGATCTCAGATATGAAGTCCAGAAGGATTTAATTCTCTTTTAAGGGTGCTTTGCACAACGCTTTGATGGAAAGCAAATTCTTACTCTTGAAGGAATGCTTTAAAAGAGAGATAAAAGTTTGTTTCCAACCCCGTACTGGCAGACAACTCAAGAAAACAAGTAGTCTAGGTTAAAATGATTTATCATAGAAAAAAAAAAAAAACCTAAAACAATTCTTCCAAAAATGTTTTTAAAGGTAAAAGCTGACTAAAAATAACCACGCATGCAAGTGGGATTTAACATGGCAAACAAACATATAGACGAAGGATTAGTTTTCATTATACTATGAAACAGCATAAACTAAATAAAATTCTTTAAGATTTCACTGAAGCCAGTTTTAGAATACACTAGGTACTCAAATTGGAGTAAACACTGATAAAATCTTGACAAATATTCCAGAAATGCACTCCAGCTATTCCAGACAAAAGCAGCAAGTATTCATCAAAGTGCAAGTTTCCAACTGAGCCCCGAAGCCTTTGAGATAAAAAAAGGATTTAAGTCTTGTGACTTGTGACAAGATATTTGGCTGACAGACTGTCACGACACAAAATGCTTCATCAACATTACACAGATAAACTAAAAACCAGCGCTACACACCTGCTCTTTTCGATTAGGGTGACATACCCAAATGATCTGCTAACGATAGAGCTAAACAATCTCCCCAAATCCGGCAGGTTTGGCACGTTCAGTGATTCTGGTATTACTGACATAAAGTCACAGCGCTTCGAGCTCCTAGTTTGCCTACAAAGTGTTTCACCTTCCTCGATTGCTCAAAAAGGATTAGAGACCTCACGGGGATTAACAAGAGCCAAAAAAAGAAACCCCAAAGCCATGGAGTCAGAGGAAAACTACGGCACCAGGAGTATTGAAATACTCGCTGTTGAAAGAGGTGATTTCTACCAGTCAGAGCAAAATGTAAGAACCACACACAAACTGCCACTCTCAGTTACAACAGAAGGATCACTAATACAACAAAACCATTAAAGCTGCTGGAATGTAACTCTGACCCAGTCAAAGGCCCTGTTTTCTCAGTTCTGGTAACACAAAGAATGACCATGTTTGTCTTTAGATGTGACCCCTCTGAACACATCACTGCTTTCCAAATATTTGGTATTCATTTTAGATCCAGCTTTAAATTCCCTTCCCGATCTCCAAACCATCTCAAACCATCTCTCTGTCCCAGACTCGAGAACAGCTTTTCCCTTCCTTCCTTTCTCCTCCTGCTCGCTCACCCCATCCCTCCAACACAAGCTATCTCTGTCTTGCTCCGCAGCTCCGCGCTCCTTGCAGAAGAGCATTCTCCCTGAAACCACAGCTATCTGGATGGGACGTCACAAATCTCCCTGCGACACTTTGGAGCCGTGTTTACCGGACAGACTCGGGCCACCTGTGTCTCTTCAATATCTTCACTTGTGCACTTCGACTGATTTCCCAGCCAAACTCCTGAACTCGCTGCTTTCACTCACATCTGCCACGCACCCTCTCCTATCTTACACTATTTGGAAGGGCATTTTTAGAGGATGTTTCCATGAAAAAGATAGAAGAGAAAAAAAATTTCTATCTCGCTGTATTGCATAACAGAAATGTATACATTTCTATACTAACAGCCAGCTTTCAGTATGCATCCTTAGGATTATGCTTCTATATTAACAGACAGCTTTCAGTATGCATCCTTAGGATTATGTTGGGTTTTTCAAAAAAAAAAAACAAAACAACCATACAACAGTCCTGGCATATGATAACTCAAGCCAAGAAACTGGGAAACAATCATTACAGGATGTTTTTTTTTTTTCTCAATGTGTAAACATTACACAGAAAAAAAACTATTCCTGATCTTCAGGAGGAAAGTCTGGAACGACATAATCCGAAACACTCCCTTTAAAACAACGATCGCAAACACTGGCTGCAGCTGGAGAGAGGGTATCGTGGTCACGAGAACTTCAGCTACGGCTGAAACCACAGAGCCAGAGCACAAACAGGTTTTTAAGACTCAGTAGTAACAAGGAAAAAAAAAAGTGTTGACAGATGAGTGTGAAATGAATGAAGATTTATGGGAATACAGCTATGAAACCCCACTCAGCAGCGACAACAAGTATTTTGGAAGCTACCATTACACATGCATTAATTCTGCCTGTCTCCTACCAGTCCCAGCATGGCCTCGTCGGTCTTTCACTGATAAATGGTGAGTAGCAGTACCACAGACAGTTCGAGGAGGGAATTCAGAGCATATTTCCCATTTGACACAAGGGCATGCATGAATTACGCTCATACCAAAACAGCACAAATCCACCCGGGCAACGCAAAGGAGTCCGTAACCTTCCAGTCGACCTGGAAGAAAGCAGTGGGCCAAGCTGGAAGGAGAATGGGCATCACAGCAGTCTCTGAAATGACTTCCAAAAAAATCAGCTCTGTGCATCCACGGAAAGGATATATAAATTATCACACCAGCCTCCTGCTCTCCATCACGCCAACACTGCACATTACGCTGAGTTCTTGACTGCTTATCGTATAAACAGCCTGCACAGTGGCCCATTAGTGGTTTTCAAGTTTATGCTAAGCGTTGCAATTTATTGCTGTCCTTTAGGTTAATGTACTATTATTTCATGTATTTAGAATATATTTCTGGATTTGTTGTTAATTATGATGTCATGTTTAGATACCAAAGATCAATTAAGACCCCATAGCTGTTTACAGATATATGTTAATAAAGTACAAAGTACACTCGATCTTCCACCATGCAAAGCTTATTCTATAGCTCAAGGTCAACACCAGATTTAATACTCATGTCTGTGTTTCAAAATTTTATCTATCCTCTTCTGTCTGGGCCAGTAAGGGGAACTATAGACCTAAGAGGTTTTTTAACGCTTACGATATTTTAAATTGCAATCCTAAATACTTTCGTGGGAACATCAGTGCTTTCTCCTAGCTGTATTACCATTTCTTCCTCCCAGTCTGTGAGCAAATTGGTTAATTAAGCTTCAAGCAACGTTTCCTGCACATCCACAAGTCTTGGTGAAATCCCTGGATATTTCAAGATCCTCACCAGAAACAGCAAAGCCTTTTCTGGCCCAAAGGAATCCACTTAAGGCAACCGCAGAATGTTACGAGGATAAGAGGGCGCATCCTCCAGTTCACCCGTGGCTAAGGCAGCTATTCCCTGACTCCTGTTGGGCAGCAGGTCTGCAGAAATTTTGTCCGTATTTTATAGACTATCCACCTCGCTCCCCAAAACCTAGTTAGTACGTGTCAAACCCAAAAGGGGTTCTGGCTGCCCAGACATGCTGCACCTCTTACTTTACTGTCTATATTGACTCTTCGTATTAATATGATAACTTTGTTGAAAAAAAAAATCAGTACCCTCACAAAATTATCAATACTGTTTTCAGAATCACGGCCAATATGACTGTTTTCCTATCAGAGACAATTAAATAATGTTTCAGATATTCTGGCAGCCTTTAGACTTGTAAAGAAATCATCCACTACTTCTACGGAAAGGAAAGAACAGTCTGGGAAAGGTTTCCTTAACAGGTGCTAGGAAAGTAAACCTTTCAATACACTTGTATGATACGAGTCCTCCACCTTGTAGCTTCCTTCAGCTTTGTCATTTCTCTCACCTTCACCACTTGTTTCTCGCAGCCCTTTCCAGCAAAGCATTCGCTTCTAACCTCCGTAACTTCTTTTCAGTCTTACCCTGTCTTCTCCTGGCTTCTTTCAATTACTCTTCTCCTATGCTTCTTTTTAACTTCCACTATCCTATTTCCCTGTGTTTTCGAACGATCCTCCAGAAAACTGAATGGAAATGTAGCTGCCGTGTCCAGACCTGGCCTGAGTGAGGCAAGAATGGAATATTCTGTACGTACAAATCCTACATGTCACCTGTCAACAGCTCTACTGGAGATCAGCTTTCAAGAGTGTACAGACCAAAAATTATTTCTGATATTCTGAAAATCCAGGTGGAATTATCTGAACCTAAGGCTTCAAAGCTCACATACATTT